TTTAGTTTACTTGATACCTTCAGTGGTATAATATTTATCTACCTCTGTTTAAGCAAGAATTGATAATTAGTTTACAGCATTTTTTGAGACCAACATTGAGGCACATATAAATATATATATAAATGTGTGTTTGTATGTAATTTGTGAAAACATCAACTTTAGAAGGTACTTCTTAATGATATATTATAAGAGGGTGGGAGAGGGGATAAGTAAAGTTTTTATTTGATATAATTTTTGTGAAGATAAAGTAAGTTAATGAACCAAAGCTAAGTACTTTTTATTATGTGAAATATCAGAAAATACTAACTTTTATAAATAATGTTCAGGAACAGGTAAGACATCTACTTTGATTCAGTATACCAAGATGAGGCCTGGTTTGAAGTTTTTGAGTGTGGTTTACAACAAGTAAGTTGTACTTGTATTTTTATTGTTGTGTGCTTTGCTCTCTCCTCCTCTTTTTAACCTTGTAAAACATTTCCACAGATACTAATTTGGTTTAACCACATATAACGTTGGAATGTGTGTTAATATTGTTATTGTGTGTAATATTGTTTTATTCTATCAAATATATAACTTTTATACTTATAATATTAATTTTACTTTTTTCTGTTAGAAACTCGTAGAAATCATAGGATTTTTTAAGCATGTTTCAAAACTAAGATTTGATTTATAGAGTTAAATAAAAAGAGATGTTGTAAAATAGGCAAATCTTTGATGACATTCTGAACTTCTGAGATATATTAAATATGTTTGCAAAGTGTATCGTTGATTTAAGATTTTAAAAAGTTGTTATTGTGTCTACCAATTTTACTGCGGAAATTTAAGGAATATGGATCAAGTTGTATCAAAAACGGTTATGAAACAATTTATTTTATCTTTAAAGGTCAGTGAATGAACTTGCTAAGAAAACTTTTCCACCCAATGTGGAGTGTCGCACTGCACATTCTCTAGCCTGGGAAGGGATAGGAAAATTGTAAGTGAGATCTTGTATTCTCTACACTGATTTCCAGCAAGAAAATCCTTGTTGTTCTCTAGTGAGGAATGTCTTAATGTTGTGAGTGAACATCTGTTATCTTTCTTGTTATCCTCTAGTGAGGAAAGTCCTAAGAATGATGAGTGAACGTCTGTCATCTTCATTGTTATCCTCTAGTGAGGAAAGTCCTAAGAATGATGAGTGAACGTCTGTCATCTTCATTGTTATTCTCTAGTGAGGAAAGTCTTAAAAATGATGAGTGAACACATGAGTGAGCTGTACATTTGTTGAATATTTACAGTTTATGTGATGCTATTATTAGTTAGACAAGGTTAAAGGGCAATAAAACAAAAAATGTAAGTATGAATTGATGTATGATGTTACAAGCTTTAAACTAATTGATGTATGATGTTACAAGCTTTAAACTATTTAGGATAAACAAAGGTAGTTCCATGTTATAATTTTCATTCATTAAAAAAGAAAAATGGATAATTTAGAATTATTTCATATTTGTTTATGGTGGTTATGAGGTTGGTCAAATGGGTATAGTTAGGATAGAGAAAGTAACAGATAAAATATAAGCTTTCATTGAAAAAATACGTTTGATATTTGTTTAGGAATTTTTAGATTACATAAATGAATTTTCAGCTAAAGAAAATTGGAGCAGTCAACACTCTGACTCCATATATATAAATGGAAAATTGTTTTGTAAAAATACTCAATTAAAAAATCTGATAGTTTTTGCATGAAAGACTAGTAATTTTGTGAAGATACATGTACCATATAAAGATTATAGTATGGAAACTAATGGTTACAAACTTGGTCAGTTCAACAGAATCCATAGCATTTGTTTTTAACTTGATCATGTTGTTCCTTATATGATATATAATATTCCAACATTATACACAAGCTCTGTCATATTCTTTGTTTATGATGTGTAGTGTTCCATTGTTGTATGTCGGCTTAGTCATGTTACTTTAGGATGACCTTTTTACATGTGTTGTAACTAGAGAACAAATGAAATGGAGACTAACATGTTAGTTAGTTAGTTACAGTTGAATTAGATGTTTAGGGTTTTGTTTCTTAAGCTTAACATTTATAATATATTTACAGCTACCGTCATAAACTGACCAGCAAAGTACGTCCCATGGATGTCATGAGCAAGTTGAATAGAGCCCCTAAAGCATATGCAGAAAAACAGAGATATGCCAGTGCTGTACTTGCTACTATTAATAGTTTCCTGGCATCAGTTGATGATGATATAACCACAGCTCACGTACCTCGACACTTAATAGACCGGGATGGAGAATCTCTTCGATCTATAGGAGACACGGAACGACTTGTAAGCAGTTAGCCTTTATACAACTATCATTTGTAAAGTTACAGAAATTCAGTGTTATACACATTTTTCAGGAACTTCCTGATGGAAGCTAGACAAGTTTTTCATACTATAACTAGAAAGAACAGTATTTGTCTGAAGTAGTGAACTGAAACTGGTTCAACTGGGGTGTTAAAATAATATTTTAGTTTGTTTTGATGAGAGTAAATAACTGAGGAAGATATAAAATGTGTTTCATGAAATTTCTGAGAAGATATCTTACTGCTTTCATAGTAACTATTATCACCTGGAGATTTGTTAGCTATCAAAACATCCTTCTCGTGGAGTCCTGACATTCTGTTTATAGAATCTTACCATTCCACAAACAGAATACTTGAAGTATTGGAGGAAAATTAAGACAATTTAACATATTTGTGAACCATGCAAGAGTTTTTTTCTTGTTGTGATAATTCTTAAATAAAATCTTGTGTGACTCCAAAATAAGCTCATTTTTCTTACTTTT